TCACAGCCAGCTCTCAGTGTCAGAATGTCTGATACTCCTTATTTTATCTGTTAGCCAGGGCTCCCTGATTGGACCAGAATAACAGCCCCAATTAGGGAACTTGTATTCTATGAGTCCACCTGGCTAATATGTTTCTCAACCCCATTCTCCTGTTTTCTCTCCGCAAGCTTTGATCCTTTTACTAATCATCAGTCTATTTATCTCTGTCTTAAATACACTCAGTGATATGGCCTCCACAGCACTCTGCAGCAATAAATTCCATGGATTAACCACCCTCTGGCTGAAGGAATTCCTTCTCATCTCAGTTCTAAAGGGTCATCTCTTCACCCTGAGGCTGTGCTCTCAGGTCCAAGACGCTCCTACTGATGGAAACATCTGTATGTCCACTTTTCTGCATAGATTCTTGATCAATCAGGAAACTATCTCAGCATTAAATAATACTCAAACACTGTGCCCCCACAGCTCTCTGTGGCAAGGAGTTCCAAAAACTCTCACCCCTCCCAGAGAAGAAATCTTATCCAATAATTGGTCACACACAAGGTTAATGTCTTTTGGGGTTTTGGTCAATTGTGATTTTGTTAAATTTGTTAGATCCTTTGTTTCTAAAACAATCTGCACTGAGCAAACACCTGGTGATATTCCAGATACATTATGATTCCATCTGAGAGAACCCAAATTGTTAAGCTCCCAGGTGAGCAGGGAAGAACTGGCTCCCCTCCTTTACACCTCCATCTTCTCAGCTGGGAGCAACAAGGTAAATTTACAAAGGATCCTTTCCCTTACAGTACCTTTTCAGACCGAAATGAACATATGTTTTAAAAGGAGCCAATTTAACCACAATGTCTTGAATAAACAAGAGTGACTGTGTTAATTACTAAATGCAAGAAGGATTCATAATGCAGCATACATCCACACAGATTAGAAAAATGAGTTGATGCTACCAGCTAGCTCCTTCTAGCCCTCAGAGTGTGGCTCAGTCTTTTCCTTCCACACAGGGACAACTAGGGAGTAGTTATTCAATCATGACCTTCACAGCACAATTGCACTCAAAGGCTGGTGCACATGAAATCATTTAGTCCCGCTAGTGCACTCCAGTACAGTTGGAAGTGTCTTTTTAACTCCTGTCCTTGTTTATGCTTCAAAGTGAAAATCACACAATGTGTCTACAATTTGGGGTATAATCCATAGTGGGTGGTTTACTGTGGAGCAGGGGATCATTAGCCTCTCATTATCTTCATATTCATAACAGATCTAGTTTGTTTGAAGTTTTTTGACCCTGCTGGTGTAACATTCCATGTATCTCTCTGTCTTTTCTTCAGGGCAAAATGCATTCCTTTTGAGCTGTATGAGACCTCTTTTCAAAAGCAACTTTGGAATTTGAAGTTAAAAATGTCCACAGTACTTTGCACTTTATTACTGGTACTGTTATCATCATGGTCACACTGTGCAGAACATATATTTGTATGAACTGTCCCTCCGGAGATTCTCTCAAGTTTTCTTTTCACTCATTCATGGGATGTGGATGTTTGGCTACATCATCATTTGTTGCCCATCCCTAATTGCCCCAAGGGCAGTTAAGAGTCAACCATATTGCTGTGGAACTAGAGTCACATGTAGGCCAGACCAGGAAAATGATGGCACTTTTTCTTCCCTAAAGGACATAAGTGAACCAGATGGGTTTTATGACCATTAACAGTGGTTACATGGCCATTGGCTAACTTTCAGATGCTGAATTCAGATTTCCACCCTAGTGGAATTAGAAGCCATGTGCCCACAATATTAGAGATAACAATGTGTAGAGCTGGATGAACACAGCAGGCCAAGCAGCATCATAGGAGCAGGAAGGCTGACGTTTCGGTCTAGGCTCTACACCTTGTTATCTCAGATTCTCCAGCATCTGCAGTTCCTACTATCTCTGCCCAGAATATTAGCCTGGGTTATGGGACCAGTGGCATTATCACAACGACTACTTCTTTCCTGGAAAGCTCATTTTTTCTGTAAAAGAAACAAAATCAATTTGAAATGTTAAATACTGATTGTGTTTCAATATTTCTTACCCTATAACTTTATGGAGTCTGAATTTTCATCAAATTGTCAGCCTTCCCACTTCACTCCAGCTGCAGGAAGCTCCTTACCTATAAACAGCCACTGCTGCTGTCTGCACATTCACTGACAGTTTATTTCATTCTTTCGTGAGCTGTGGCCATTGCTGTTGTTACACATCCCTGACTGCCCTTGAGAAGGTGGAGGCAAGCCACTTTCTTGAGCAGCTGTGGTGTATCCTCACTGTGTGGGGAGGGAGTTCCAGGATTTTGTCCCAGTGACAGTAAAGGTTTTTGTGAAGAAAATTTGACACTGAGACACATAAGGAAATATTGAGACCAAAAGTTTGGTCAAAAAATGAGGTTTTAAGGAGAATTTTAATGAGCGGTAGAGAGTTGCAGAGTTTAAAGCAGTGAATTTTAGCTTAGGGTTACTGTAGCTCAAGGTGGAGCTGGTGGTGTAGTGGTATGTCACTGGGCTAATAATCCAGAACTGAGAAAATGAAATTGAATCGCACTATAGCAGAAGAGGAAACTGGAGTTTAATCATGATCTGGAATTAAAAAAGAACTAGTCTATTGGTGACCACCAATGATTGTCATAAAACCCATCTAGTTCATAAATGCCCTTTGGGGAAGGAAACTGCCACCCTTACCTAGTATGGTCTACATGTGACTCCAGACCCACAGCAATGTGGTTGACTCTTCACTGCCAAATGGCCAGTTAGGGATGGACAATAAATGTTGCCTAGCCAATCAGAGATGCCCACATCCTCTGAATGAATAAAACTGGTGCAGCAGTCGGTGGTGGAGTAAGAAAGATGCTGAACAGACTCGAATTCGTGGACAGCAGAGTTTGCAAAGTGCTGTAGGGTTGCAGAGATTAGGAGGAGTGATACCATAGAAGATGCAAAAACCAGGAAGGGAATGTTAAAACCGAGCAGCTGATGAACCAGATGCCAATGTGCATCAGGAATCTCGGGGGTGAATGGGAAAGGGGAATTGGTGCAAGTCAGAACATGGCAGCAAACTTTTGAATGACCCAAACTTATCAAAATAAGGATGTGGAGGAAATGGTTTTCTGATGTTACATTGTTACACTTCTGACACCATCTACAGATGACCAACATCATGGGCAGCACGATGGCTCAGTGGTTAGCACTGCTGCCTCACAGCGCCAGGGACCCGAGCTCAATTCCACTCTCAGACGACTGTCTGTGTGGAGTTTGCACATTCTCCCCGCGTCTGTGTGGGTTTTCTCCCACAGTCCAAAGATGTGCAGGTTAGGTGGACTAGCCATGGGAAATAACCCATAGTATCTAGGGATGTGCAGGCTATATGGATTAGCTGTGGAAGATGTGGGGTAGGTCTGGGAGGGAGGTTTTTCAGAGAGTCAGTAAGGACTGGATTGGCTGAATGGCCTGCTTCCATACTGTAGGAAGTCTATGATCAACACTTGGTAAATTAGGGACTGATATAGTGTGTAATGTGACATCTTAAAGAAGAGAATAGCCAGCCTCATTGTTTTTCCAACTTTTTTATGAATGAGAAAGTTTAACTACCAAGGCAGTACATGTGCAGATTTTCCACAAGAGCTAATTAACCCTTTGACCTTACCAGAAATTTGCAGCAAAAGCTTTCAGTGAATCAGTATTTTCTGGTGAGGTCAGCAGTTAATGAGCTAAACATTAATAAACTTTATAAAATGCCTGTCTACTAATTTAATCCTTTGATCCTTTTTGAGGACATTGTGCTCCTTAGAACTTTTACAAGATATATTCTTTCCATTAAAGAATAACTCTGAAAATGATTTCTGCAGCTTGCTTTTATTGAACATTAAGTAGAGTTATATCAATTTAACAAGCTGTAAGGGTTGGTTGCCAAAGCTGTGGGATGCCAATCTTTTGTTCCTGTTATGCACAGCAAATCTTCTCAGTCATAGTGTAATAAGGCAATGCCAAGCGAACAGCACACCATCCTCTGGTGGGAGGGAAAGAGAGTGATTGCCCTATTTACTCTGACAATGAGTGAATGATCAAGCTTTGGGAACATGCCAATTCGACTCTCAGTCTGCTTTAGAAATAATCATGCCTTGATTGATGTTTAAATGCAGAGGATAATCCAACTAAACAAACTGCGCATTGTTGTATAGCAGCAACCCTGAGGTAAAGGACCTTCTCTATTCCACCATGTGTGCCAATGGCAACCGCAGCAGATGACCCACTAATTGCTACAACTGGCAAAACTGATGCCAACAATACCGCTTGGAGAGGGTCTGTTGTTACATATGGAAATTTGAATCCTTGGTCTGCACAGAGAGACCAACACTCTCCCTTGCACAGGTCTGTTTGGACCCCTCCTCACTAAATGAAAGATCCCAGTTAGATGAATTTCTGAGTGGGATTTTAACTTTGTAGCATCTGTGCCAATGATTGAAGGGTTTCTTTGTGATTTCTGAGCCACGTTTGGTTGCTCCATTATTTGCATTTATTTCGCTGTAAATATGGGGCCAAAGCCAGAATTGGTTTGATTCCACCTCTACACTGGATGTCAGAGAGAATTTGATACAAAATTGAGGCCAAATACTGTGGCTGCTGGAAATAGAAAATAAAAACCTAAAATACTGGGAGCTGTCATCAGATGGAGCAGCATCTGTGAGAGTTACAATGGCTTCCCCTTTCATTTAGCAGCAGTCAGTCAAATGGCTATATTTACCAATTCTTCAAATCAGTTCATCTGCAAGCTGTCTAAAACACAGGCAGAGTGTGGATCGGCAATCACCGATACTCATGGTATTAATTCTCAGTGCATTGTCTCCAATTATAATTCCAAACTACGATGGATCTATACACACAGACAATAGGTGACTTCATATAAGACAATGACACTATTAACTGAATGCTATAAAGTAGACCAAGTCTTTGTAAATTTATATTCTTCTTTTCTCCTTTAACTCCAGAATGATGTTGGAGGACAACGCAGCCTCATCAATAAATGGACCACATTCCTTAAAGCCCGCCTGGTGTGTTCTGTCCCAGGTCCTGACGGAGTTGACACTTATTTTGATGAACTGCGTAAGTAAAAATTTCACTGCAGAACTTCATTGGATTTGCTCTTTGCAAACAGTATGGAAATTTAATCAGCAATTTCTTTATAATTCATCGCCGGGCTGGTCAAAGTTGAAAAAGTGCCCATTGAAGGTTTAGCCAGGCATGTCTGACAGATTTAACAATTGATCATTTTGTAAATGGAAATGCTTCTGAAAGTCAGTGTTGAAGGTGCATTAAACTCCACCTGATCTGATGATGCTACACAGTCTTTGAGTGAAGAAGGAACAAGGCCCCAAACAAGTCCAAAGGTGTGCAGCCTGGTTGGATTAGCCATCATAAATGCAAGATTCTGGAAATAGGGTGAGGGTAATGGGTCTGAGTGGGATGCTTTTTGGAGGATCGGTGCGGACACAATGGTGTCTTTCCACACTGTAGGGATTCTATGATTCTAAGATAGTTATGTCTCCTGTCACTCCTGGTGGTTTTTGTTTGTGCGCCTGACTAATCAGTGTAACTTGTACCGATTGCTATCAGGCAATTAACTACATTGAGTTGAATAAGACAAGTGCCTCTTCTCATTACAACTCCATGATAGTTTACTCATAACCAATACTAACTGATAGAGCCTCAGACACAGCATAGAAAGGAAAATTAATGGCATCAGTTTATCCCAGTCACCCTGGTTATTAGTGCAGCAGATGACGACCAATCTGAGTCCCCATTGAGTTGTATAGAGAGATTTAAAGGAGCAGCATTTCTTAATGACACTGATAACTCATGAAATTATTAGGATTGTAATTTTATGACTGTCAGTCTCTCAATTCAAACATAACTGCAATCCAGTTAGCCTTTCAGGGCTTCCATCATCAGGGGTACAAGATCCTACAAAGCTCCTTCTCCCACTTCTCTCCAGGCTCTCCTTGGGGTGATGATAGATGTGTTACACTCATTGTTATGCCTATCTGCTCAACTGATCTTGATGGGGTCAGAATCGGTCAGGTCAAAATTTTAATAAATAAGGTCACAAACATTTTCTGAGTGAAAAAATAAAAGACAGGCGACAGAGTTCTGAGCAGTGAACATGTTTAATCAAAATACAGTCCTGGAGTGCTCAGTGAATTATAGTCTTGCTGTCAATCTTGCAAAAATAATAATTGGCCATATCTTTCCTTCCAAAAATGTCATCGGAATGTGCGGCATAAATAGATGCCAAGCTGTTCAGATGGTGTTGAATACATTTCTGAGTTAGTACATCTGAAAGCCAATGAGTAATCTGATAGCAATATTCCTAATGCCTTTAGCTGTTAATAATTTCTCCGTTTTTCAGTCTCCTGTGCCCAATACACTTAGGTGATTATCCTGAAGCACTGAACAGTCTGAACTGCTTCTTTGGGCGCTGCTAATCCTGTTGTCAGTTTTTTGAAGGAGATTTGCTGTCTTCTTTTTAGCTTATTGTGACACGCTGAGTTGTGGAATCAGCAGCCTTACTAAAGATTAGTATCTTACAGTAGGAGCAGGGCAAGACCAGGGGCTCTGATCAAAGGGCTTTCAGGAGTAAAACACACAATGGGGCAACAATGTCCATATATTGATTGCAAACTGGCATGATAATAGGCCAATTGAACAGTGTTTAGAAGCTGTCCATTGATAGGAGAGAATCTATCACATTTCTGTCTGTCAAATTATTAATTTTAATGACTTCATTATTCTTTGCAAAGAGGATGTGTTTCTGCTCCATACAAAAGATGAAAGGAATCCTATTGTTTATGGAGTCTTCACGACTACAAGGTAAACGTTTATTGATATTACACAAATTATTAGTGTGTATTTTGTAGGCTGGATACTGAGATCTAACCTAAATGTGTTTTGAGTTAAATATTTTCTTAACTGACAATTTGTTTCTTCTATTGTCAATCTTCCTTATCAAATTATGATGGGATTTGAGATAGTAAATAGTTAAAGCTTGTTTGAATTGGATGATGAGTTGGCACCATGGCTGATAAACAAATTTTTTTCCCAGAACAATAAGAAGAATGTTGTTAATATTTTTTTAAACCACACAGTGACAGTAGCATAAATAACCATTTACCAGATTTGACTGTTTGGAAGCTACAAAATTTCAAAACACAATTTGGGAAATATTCTGAAATGAGCAATATATAAAGCTAGTAGGAAAAATGTGGAGAAATGGATTAGTGTGTGGTAAGTTGGCCAACTGGCAGGCGTGTGCCCATTGAATTCTCTGCAGATCCATCATGACTTTGAAAAGTTTTATAAAATCTCCTCTTAGCCTTCTTTCCGAAAAGAAAACCATCCCAGCTTCTCTGTCCTATCCTCAGGACTGAAATGCCTCAATCACTTAAACATCTTCTGCACTCTCCCCAATGCATTCACATCCTGTATACAGTGTGACTACCCACAACTGTACACAATATATGATCTGAAGTCTAACATGTATCTCATGCAAGGTCATCATAACCTCCCCTTGCTCTTGTACCCTATGCCACTATATTGGAGTTTAGATTACTTTATGCTTTATTAAAATCCCTCTACCTGTCCTGCAACATTTAATGCTTATGTACATATACACCTGAGCCTCTCTGCTCCTACACCCTTTAGAATAGACCCTTTGTTTTATACTGACTCTCTTTGATGTACCAAAGTTCATCATCCACACTTCTCCACAATGAACTACATCCATCCACTATCGTCCCACTCCACCAATGTCCTTCTGAAATTCTGTACTGTGCTTTGCACAGTCTATAATTCCCTCAAATTTGTGTCATCCACAAACTTTCAAATTGTCCCTTGTATACCAATTTCTTGATCATTTCAGGAAAAGCAATGTTCCAATACCAACTCCTGAAGATTTATGAATGATCTTATGATGAAGGCACTCCTCATAGCAGTGATTCTAACGTGATTGAATTTTTGCATTCATTTTAAGGGAAAGAAATGTGGCTACAAGACTAGACTTTTAAACTTCAATAAGGGCAATTATGGAAGCATGAAAGCAGAGCTACCAAGTGAACTGGCAAACTAGGTTAAAGGATAGGCCTGTAGTTATACAGTGGCAAGCATTTAAGAAATATTTCAGAATCCATAGAATTGATGCATTCCAACAAGAATGGTCAATTTTAAAGAGAGGACCCATCATCTGTGGTTGCTGAAAAAGGTTAAACATAGCGTCAAAATTAACAACAAACATATAATTGCACAACGATGTGTGCAGGCCAGATGATTGGACAGAAAATTAAAACCAGCAATGAATGTCTAAAAATTTAATACAACAGAGAGAAAACTACAATATGAGGAAGCTAGCTAGAAATATATGAAATAGATAGTTGATGTTTCTACTGATATTTAAAACGAGAGAAGTAGCAGCAAAATGAATTTTGGCTCTAGTGAGTCTGGGGAATGAATCATGGGGATTAAGGAGATGTCAGATTGAACCATTACTTAGTATCAGTATTCTCTGTGGAGGATACATGGAATGTTCCTGAAATAACCGTAAAATCTTGAAATGGGAGTAACAGAGGAACTCCAGAAAATTACAGTAATCAGGGACTTGTTACGGAGTAAATTGTTGACACTATGGGGCTGACAGTGCCCAGGTCTCGATAGACTTCAATCCAGGGTCTGAAAGAAATGGCTAACTTGATAGTTGCTGAGTTAGTTTTAAATTTTCAAAATTACCTAATGGGGTAAGATTCTATTAGATTGTAAATTGGCACATGCAACCCCTCATTCAAAAAGGGAGCAGGGAGAAAGCTGAAAAACAACAGATCAAGTCAGCTCAACATCTGTCATAGGGAAATGTCAGAAGCTATCATTAAGGATATTATAGCAGGACACTTTGGAATAAAAAGTAATCAGGCAAAGCCAACATGGTTTTGTGAATGGGAAATTATGTTTAACCAGTTTATTGGAGCTCTCTGAGGAGGTAATGTGTGTTGTGGATAAAGGGGAACCAGCAAACAATCAGAACTTGGATTTCCCAAAGGCTTTCGATAAGGTGCCACATCAAAGTTAATTGCAGAAGCTAAAGGGTTGTAGTGCAGGTGTAACAAATTGGCATGAATGAAAGATTGACTGGCTAATAGGAAACAGAGTAGGCATGAAAGGATCACTTTCTAGTTGTCAACATGTCAAGAGTGGTATGCCACGCGGGCCAGTGCTGGGACCACACCTGCTTACAGTTTCCGTAAATGATTTAGATGCAGGGACAAAAGGTATGGTTCCTAAATTTGATGATGACATGGTAGAAAGGTACATTGTGAAGAGAACAAACGGAAGCCACAAAAGGAGATGAACAGATTAAATGAATGGACAAAGATCTGGCAAGTGGACTGTAATGTGGGAGCATGTTTAGTTGTCCATTTTGGCAGGAAGAGTAAAAAAGAAGTACATTATCTAAATAGTGAAAGATTACAGAGCTCTGAGATGCAGAGGGATCTGGGTGTTTTCATGCACGAATCACAAAAGGCTATGTAGTAGCAAGTATTTAAGAAGACTAATCAAGTATTACCATCCACTGTGAAGGGAATTGAATGTAAAAGTAGGGAGGCTATGCTTCAGTTATACAGGGCATAGATATGATCACGTCTGGAGTATATATTCTCTAGTGGTCACCTTATGCATGGAAGTACTTACTGTTGACTGCATTGGAAGCAGCTCAGAGGTTTGCTAGATTAATAGCTGGAATGGTGGGTTGTCATATCAGCAAAGGTTGAACAAGCTGCAATCGTGTCCACTAGAGTTTAGAAGATTGTGAGGATTCTAGACAGGGTAGGTGTTGAAAGGATGGTCCCTTGTGTGAGACATTCTAGAACTCAGAGGCACTGTGGAAAATAAGTTATCACCCAGTTAAAACAGAAATGAGAGTTTTTTTCACAGACAATCATGAGTCATTAGAACTTCATTCCTCATAAGATAGAAGCTGGGTCTCTGAATATTTTTTTAACGACAGAGTTAGATTCTGGATTATCAAGGGGGTGAAAGGTTACTGGAGTAAGCAGGAATGTGGAGTAATTCAATCAGCTGGAAAGCTGGAAAGGCTGAATGTCTCTCATATGTATCATTGTGTAAAAGGAAAGAGTATCAATCCAACATATCATTGGATAAACTGATGCGGACATTCAAAAAGAAATGTATATTGGGAAAGGAAAATGCATTTATAATATTTGCACAAAGATAAATATAAGCTACAAGGTTATACATTGGTCCTTCAGTCCAGTGAGCTTTTCCCATCATTCATTTTATGGTTGGAACAGTCAAAAATAAAGATTTTTAATTTGTTAAAATTATCATGAAACTTTGTGAAGCAAGACAATTTATTTCATCAATTGATGTGTTTATTTTTGATACCATATATCACTTTGATAAGTTTAGAGAATTCACTTCAATTCGGTTTTCCGGAATTGTTTCTGTCATGTTGCACATTGGGTTTATATTTGAGATTCTGTATTCAAGAGGATTTTGTATATTGCCTCATGTCCTCTGGGTATCCAGCCCACACAGTGAGATGAAAGTCTCTGTTTCTCTTAACCATCTGTTGAAGTTTAGGATAAATTCCACATCTCAACATTGATTATCACAGAATCGGGTCTCTCACTCACCACTGCCATCGTGATGCTAAACAGAGCAATGGGAAAATCTCACACTGGTGCACTAATAGGTGCTATGATGAGGTTGAGGGTTATGTTGGTTTAGGGAGCAGAGCAGAAGGAGATTTGCTCTAAAACTGAACTGCGGTATGCCTGAGGTGTGCTCGATGCTAAGATGAAGCCCACAGAGTGGAAACTATGCTCTGATCTTCCAGCAGATCTCCCTTTGCATAGTTTAATGGGAATCTTTTAATTAATAAATTGCATTTTAATTTTTGAGTGTGACAGTATTTATATCTGGTGTCATCCTAGTAAAGGAGCGTTCAACATAGAGTTATAAATGAATAATCCACACAAATCTCCAGTTGAGTCAGTGTCTATCCTTTACTGCATTGATTACTTTTGACCTCTGTCAGAGAAAGAAAGAAATGTAAGAATGAATTTATTCACTGAAAACAAAAAATACTGGAAATCACAGCTGATGTCAGCTCTGAAGAGTCATCCAGATTCAAAACATTCACTTGCTCTCTCTCCATGAATGCTGCCCGACCCGCTGTGATTTCCAGCATTTTCTGTTTTCAGTACAGATTCCAGCTTCTGCAATAATTTCTGCCTAAAATGAATTTATTTAGCATTGTCACAACCTCAGGACACCTTAAACTATTTTACAGGCAATGAGGCTTTTTTTTTTAAGTCCACTCCCTGTTGTAATAAGAAAATACAGCACCGAACCGCACACCAACTTTCCAAAAGCAACAATATGATAATGAGCAGAAAATCTGTTCTGTTTGATGGATAAATATGAGTCAGGTTATCATGGAGAAGTCCCATACTGTTCTTTGAATTTGTGCTATGGCATCATGTCCCTCCATTGGAGAGACTTAACAAAGCCTTGGCTTAACACCTCCTTGGTACTGCCCTGGAGTATCAGCAGAGACTTCCTCTGTACTCAGCCTCCAGTGTGCGAATTGAACCTGCAACGCTTGCAGTCAATAGTCAATGGTAAGAATGCAACAGCTAACAGTGCCATAAAGCTGCTTCCAAAAATAAATCCCAATCTCCCTGAGCTGAACTGGCTCCTGAAGCGTTCTTGTGGAATTGAATCAGGCAGCTTTTAGGTGCTCGGATGTCCTCCTAAAGTAAGTGAATTTGGTTAGACCGTACAATGTCTTACACCGGCTGTGGAACCACAGTGTCAGACTAATTGGCAACTGCTTGGAAATTGTGCCATCCCTATTCACACAGCACGAACCGCTTCTCAATACCCACTGCTTAAAGCTTATCAGTTGATGCAGATGGTACCCAGTGCCATACTTGTATGGTACAAGCACTCTGCTCACAGATACACCATTTTAAGCACAAACCTAACTGCTCTCCCATTATTATTTAACACGAGGGGAGACAATGGGCTGGTGATACTGTTTTTTGATTATTAATCCATTGACCCAGATAATGTTCTGGGAACCTGGTTCAAATACTGCTGAAGACCATGCTGGAATTTGAATTCAATGAAAATCATGAATTAAGAGGCTAACGATGACCATGAAACTGTTTCCAGTTGTCAGGGCAAAACCCATCTGTATCATTAATGTCCTTTCAGGAAAGAAACTGCCATCCTCACCTGGTCTGGCCTACAGTGGACACCGGACCCACAGCAATGTGGGTGATTCTTAACTGCCCTCTGGGCAATTACGAATGGGCAATAAATGTTGGCCGTGCCAATGCTTTTAACATCTATTTGACATGAACCTCATTTTCATGACACAATACCAAAGAATCTCTAAAAATGGCATGTCCAACAATGTAAGAGCACAGCATTGCCAATTTAAACATGTCTTGCGTTTTATTTTACTCAGTTCAATCTTTAAGGGCTCTGCAGTCTGCGTGTACAGCATGGCAGATATTCGTGCTTCTTTTAATGGACCATACGCTCACAAGGAAGGACCTGACCATCGCTGGGTGGAGTATGATGGAAGGATCCCTTACCCACGACCTGGGACAGTAAGTACAGTTTGGAAGCAGCGTTGTGTTTATTTACAGTGTTAAGGACAGGGTTTGTCATTGTTAGCAGTGGCTTCACTGATGATTGAGAGTTAATCTCATGCTGCTCGAAGCAGCGTGGGAACTGCTGTTTTATCAATCCCTGTAGGAACACAAGAGATGAGGTAAACTATACAATCTGCAGTGAATGCATATGTAGAAATGAATCATTTTATCGTTAACCTTCAAGAGACTTTCTGATAGTCATAGAGTCATTCAGCCTATCGATCAGCAGCAACCTATCTACACTCATCTAATTCACATATTTCAAGAAAAGCAGTTTCTGACTACCTTTATGGAAAAACAACAATAATATGGTCATTTGTCTGAGTTAATTTCTTTGCTTCAATGACAGATTTCCATATTTTATATTTTATTCATTCATGAGATGTGGGCATTGTTGACTGGGCCTACATTTGTCACCTCTTCTTAATTGCCCCTTGAGAAAGTGATGGCGAGCTGACTTCTTGAACACAGTTGAGTGGCTCACTATATCGTTGCAGAGGCTAATTAAGACAAAACCATGGGTGGGATATTGCCCTCCGCAGGTGTGGCATGGCAGATAGCAGCAGGACAAATAACCAGGTGGTTTGGCACCACCGAGATAGTCAACCCCTTTCCTCAACATCAGCAATGAAGTTTTGGATATGAAGGTTCTTGGGGAATCTTCCTGAACTGCCACCAATGAGGGCCCTTAATTGCTCAGTTAACATCACATGAGAGCCTCCCACCACCACTAGCCTGTCTGGTGGGCTGCCCCAATCTGCTGAAAGCTACCACTCCCTCCCCTTGCCTCCAAACTCTCTCCCGAAACCATAATCCATAAAAATCTCCTCTCTTCCCACTGCAGTCCCTCATGGCTGCACAGCCTGGGTCCCCGTTCCTGGGAGGTGCCAGCCTCTGACTGAGAGGCAGCTTCTGACAGGGGCACAACTCAGTGTTGGGGCCCAGGCAGGTCAAGTTCTCAAGTGGTTGATCCGTGTTTGATGTGGCAGGCTTTCCTGCTGTTGAAGACACGGGTTAGTCACCCTGTAAACGCTCAGCCACACACTGAGTGTGTGCAGCAGTGAATCACAGCCCAAATTGCTGTGGTTGTCTTCTCTCATTGATACAGGTCTACCACTCACCTATCGAGCATTGTAGTTCCAGATCATTCTACAGTGCAGCAAGCACCACCTGTTCTTCATTCCTGAACTGGTAAATCTGAGAGTTGATCAGCAGCATTGTGCACTTCCAGAGCAATCGACCCTTTCGTTAAGAAGTGGAGTAAATGATTGCAAATATTGGAAGACTCCTCAGAATAAATCTCATTGTTCCAGCAATGTGTTGTTGCTGAGCCATTAACTCATTGATCTTTCATCTGCTTTCTTTTCATTCTTTTTTCTGAACTGTCTGATCTCTCTGCCAAAATTTAGGCAGGCTAAATTTAAGGTGGAGACCATTAGTCTTTGTGCCCCTATACATACAGTTTCCATCTTATTTTCTTACTTAAGGTGCATAAGATTGGCTGTGAGTCAATTTTGAAAGGACCAGCATACTTTTGATAGATTAATTTTATTTGGGATGAATCTTGAGTGAATAGCTTGGCATTTTGCTTGTTTTATAAGGGCAGGAATGATTGCATTTCTGTTACATTGGACATATTTTGAGTTGTCTTGAAAATTTGATGTACTTGAGCAAGATTTCCTGAACTCAAGAGTCACTGCAAATGTTTATTGACATTCTTTAAAGTTGTTTCGTTTTGGAGAAATGTCAGATTGGAAATGAGATTCGCTCCTGCTGTAGTGAAAATAACTTGTCAAAGTTATTTCTCCCAGAACAGCAGTGCTCGATCTGTGAAGAATTTGTGTAATGTTTGATATTAATGTAGCAGCTGTTACACGGTGAATAATAGGTGACATATTTCTGCTCTGTTATACTGATGGTTTTCTTTAATCGCTCTTAAGGGAACTGTAAAATGTGTTCAGTTTGGGGTTGATAGCTTTATAATTAGGAATTAATGAATCTACAGTTTAACAGGATTGGACAAATCCCTTGGGAAGGGACACACCTGACCACACCTGCAGTTAATAATACAATCCAACGTTCACACTTCCAGGACAATTCCTTTCCTCCTGGTTTTTGAACAAATGTTTTGTTTCTTATAAAGGACCATCAGCACTTGACATATTTAATCAGTCAGCCACTTCCTTTCTCTCTCATTACATGTTATGAAGTGGATCCAATAATTGACAGTAAACCTTTTGTTTGGGCTTCCTGTAATAAAATTCATTATCCCCAGGATATTCTCTAAACACTTCTGTTGTCAGGGTGGTTTATCAAGATATTTGGAGAGATGTTGGGGCCTATTTTAAATGCTAGAGTCAGATGTAACTGTGGTAGTAACATTCTGAATTGAGTTCTGAAGAAGGGTCCCAACCCGAAACATCGACTCACCTGCTCCTCTGATGCTGCCTGACCTGCTGTGCTCCTCCAGCTTCACACTGTGTAGACTCTGAATGATATTGGGTCACACAAAAGTTAAAGATACAGTTGTTATAGTCCAATCAGACCTTAGGACTGGTCTCGCACTAGAGAGATATGGATGACGAGGGGTGGATTGTATGGATTAACCTGAGGGTCACCATGACTCAGCTGAGGGGAGAGGTTGAGAAGGAGACTCCTTCATTGTCACCTCAGCCAGTGGGTGTGGGAATCGAACCCATCCTGTTGGTGTCGTTCTGCATCACAAACCAGCCATCCATCTAACTGAGGGGCATTGAAACTCTAGCCACATGTACTGTGCACAGAGGTCTAAGAAAGATGATTTTTATCATATGTAGTTTGGGTTCTCATGAGGTGCAAAAGAGCGTGACAGCAACTTCGAGGTAGGAATGTGTCACCTAACTAAGAGTTCATGCAGGGAATGTGCCTGTTCTCTCTCCTCTGCAAGAAGTAGGTGCTGGATAATTTTGTCCTTGCCTCAGTCATGTCTGGGAGTGTAGGGTGACGGCCATGAATCACTACAACATGTTAATGATGTTGGGCTTTTAAATATCTCGAGCCTCATGATAGTAATAACAGGTAGCCAGCTGATGTGTTCTCCCCGCGAACATCACTGCATGGGTTGATTAAAAATACCTACACTTGAAATTCTAACACTCACCTTAGCTCTGTAGAAGAAAATAAATGGTCACGATATCTGCAAAGTCAGAGTTTGTAGTCAAGAGGTGGAGTTTACTTCAAATAAAACTATCATTGCCATTAATGTTGTGGACATGAGAACAGCTTCTAATATCAGCAGTGCCAAAACACCTGTAACATTTTAATTATTTACTTCATAACCAGCGTGGTTGAAACAATGCAAAGGAAGAAATGAGCTGTGTAACTGGGATGAGTGCAAATTCTCAGTAAAAGTGGGGGGCTTCCCCCATAATCTCACACTGATTCTGTGTCTGAGATTTTTGGCTTTTGGCCTGCTGTAGCCATGGATACCAACTAACCTCAGGTACCCTGTCTAAGTGACTTTTGTGATCTCAGTCAGTGAATTGCAGCAGGCCCTGGAAGCTCTGAAAGTGTCACAGCCCAGCCCAGAAGGTCCCTTTGTTTGTACCCGATGGGTCTTAGCCCAGGCTGATGATGAGAGGGAATTCAGCTCATTCTTTCCTTTTCCTCACTTGCTTCAATGAGAGCAGTTTCATTCCCTTCTCATTGAGATCAAATATTTCATAGCAGCTCTGAGTTGCTACCTTCTCAAATTCCTCAGTATGCACTTGCCAGAGACTTTTTTTTGAGATGCTAGCTAGTCGTTTTCATAAAATGGTTGCAGCACTAAAGGTCATTTGACTGATCCAGTAAAATGCAGTCCCTCCAGCTGTTACTGGGCATCACGTGGAGGGAATGGAACTGGCCGAAGACTGGTATCTGTAATGCTGGGGATCACTGGAGGAGGCCGAGATGGATCATCCACTTGGCACTTCTAGCTGAAGATTGCTGCGAATGCTTCAGCCTTATCTTTTGATGTGCTGGGCTCTTCCATCGTTGAGGATGGGGATATTTGTGGAGCCTCCTCCTCCAGTGAGTTGTTTAATTGTCCACCACCATTCACAACTGGATGTGGTAGGACTGTAGAGCTTAGATCTGATCCGTTGGTTGAGGGATCGCTTAGATCTGTCTATCACTTGCTGCTTTTGCTGTTTGGTGTGCAAGTAGCCCTGTTTGGTGGCTTCACCAGGTTGACACCTCATCTTCAGATATGCCTGGCGCTGCTCCTGGCATACCCTCCCGCACTCTCTATTGAACGAGGGCTGACCATCTGGCTTGATGGTAATGGTTGAGTGAGGGATATGCCGGGCCATGAGGTTACAGATTGTGCTGGAGTACAATTCTGCTGTTAATGGCTCACAGCGCCTCAGGGTACATGACACTTGAGTTGCTAGATCTGTTCGAAGTCTGTCCCATTTAGCACGGTGATGAGTTGATTTGATTTATTATTATCAAATGTACCGAGATTGAGTGAAAAGTATTGTTTTGCATGCTCTCCAGACAAATCATACCTTAAAAACTGAAAGAACTGTGGATGCTGTAAATCAGGAACAAAAACAAAAGTAGCAGGAACAGCTCAGCTAGTGATCCTTCCTCAGAACTAATTTGAGAGGTCCATTCATAAGTCTGATAACATCGGGGAAGAATCTGTTGTTGAATCTGTTGGTAAGTGTTTATAAACATTTGTATCTTCTGCCCGATGAAAAAGAATATAATCGGGATGGGAGGGGTCTTTGATTATGTTGGCTGCTTTCCCGAGGCAGCGGGAAGTATAGGTGGAGTCAATGGAATGAAGGCTGGTTTTCGTGATGGACTGGGCTGTGTTCACAACTCTGTGATTTCTAGTGGTCTTGGGAAGACTAGTTGCCATACCACACTGTGATGGATCTGGACAGGATGCTTTCTATGGTGCAACTGTAAAAATTGGTAAAAGTCAT